TGGTCAGCCGTATGGGAGTCCAGTGACATAACTGCTACATCATCTGCTGGTCCCAAGAACTGAGTTTTAAATGATTAAATAGGTTCTTCCAAAAAAAGGATTGATTACCCCACAGCCACTCTGAGAAAATCGTGTGTAGCTGTCCCCCGATTCAAACCCAGGGCGAGCGACCCTAGTCCGAAAATCTGAACTGCCCTATGATCAGCTGCTCTCCGAGTACCGCCTGATGGCACAAGTGGAAATTCCCCACCTGGCCTCACGAGACAGGTCGCAACCAAAACAAAACCTTTTACGAACTTGCCTGGAGGGTAGGTATAGTGGTGATTATGAAACAGAAAGAATCTTTTGTGCTGACTCAGTTCCCTTCCCCTACATATCTCACTAAGCACATGCAAATATTACAACGCCAGAGAGCATCTGAAATCTGAAACACTCTGGTCTCAAGCATTTGGGGTGAGGGCTATTGGACCTGTAACAAGAAACAATACAGTTAGGGTTCCTGTGAAATGCGTCTTAAGGAAAGTGTTAAATGAAGCCGCCACCACTAATTCTCCGGCCTGTTTGCACTCTCTGTGTGTTCTACCAAGACTGGGGAGTGTTGGGGGGTGGGGGGCTATTTACCTAAAATCCCAGAGGTTCCGAGCACTGAGGCAGGAGGCAGACTGTCAGCAGAGGAGGTGGACAGTGAGTAGGCAGTAAACACACTGGTGGAGACTCAGGTGCAGACAGTCCCGCAGACAGTGTGATAGTCCCAGAGCAGTTTCCTGACATGGTCAGAGCGGGCTTCCCTGAGGAGGGGTGTCAAGGCTGATGACTGAACAGGGGCAGCCGGAGCCGTGGAGGTGAGAAGAGCGTTCCCTGCAGAGACCCATAGGCGCCGAGGCACAGACTCGAAGGCCTGCCTGGGCTCCAGGAGCGGAGAGAAATCTGAGGGGAAGCACAGCGTGGGGGACCTTAAAGTCACACCTGTTAGTGGAGGGCATGGTAGGCCGGCATGACTCTCTCCGCCATTGGAGACTTTTCTTACTGTCTAATCTCAGTCTCTCCTGCTTTACTTAAAATAATTTTTCATTTTGCCAGAAGCAGAGAACATCCTGGGAGCACATTTACATGTTTATATATATTGAAGACAAATACCTACGGTTCTTAATCATTCAAGACGTGTGTGACAACTGTGATTCCTTATTGCGGACTAAATCTACCCTAGTGAAGGAGAGCCGGGGAAATTAGACTTCCTTTCTTCCTCTTCTTTCTCTTCCTTCTTCCTTCCTTTTTTCCTTTTCTCCCTCCGTCCTTCCTTTCTTGCATAGATATTTCCTTCTTTTCTTTTTCTTTCTTCTTCCTTCTTCCCTCCTCTCCTCTCCCCTCCTCTTTCCTCCTCTCTCCTCCTCTTTTCTCCCTTCCCCTCCTCTCCCCTCCTCTCCTCTCCTCTCCTTTTCTTCTTTCTTTCTTCCTGTTTTCTCCTTTCTTCTTTCTTCTTTCCTCTCTCTTTTTTAGTACGCTCATTTCCTTGGCTCCTACAGATGCTGAGACACGGCGTGGGGTGCCTCCCTCTGGACGGGAGTGAGGGCTCAGAAAGCCCTCCCCGATACCCTTCTCTCTGTGAAGGAGAGACAAGGGACGGGCTCAGCAGTCTCGATTTCTCTTGTTTCAAATTTCACGATTCTAAGAAAGAAAGTGTGTTTGTGCCCGAGAGGCAGAGAGTGAGGCAAAGGGAGACTGAGAGAGATGAATGAAGAGAGACTGAGCACACGAGCACCCAGAGAAAGGAGCGGACTGGGTCCCCGGCTCTGTCTCCAGGACGGGCCGGCTTAGGCTCTGAGCACAGGGCATCCCACAGAGCAGCGAGGCTGGCATTTCAGGGCCTCGGTTATGAGCTGGTGATGAAAACAGATTTAAGTTGGCAGGTACAGATTTTGTTGCCCCTTTCCTAAGGATATTTCAGAGTAGAAATTTAACAGCTCTCGAGAAGACGGGTGACCTCCACCCCATTCTTTCAGAAGCAGAGGTTGCCCACCGATGGCCATCTCAAACGGCACCTCCCGGGGAAGGGAGCGAAGTGGGCGAACTGCTGGCTTCACCCACAGCACTGGCTTCCGGCCTGCCCTGCTGAGAGCTCTTTGCTATCTAAAAACTAGCCCGGGCTCAGCGTTCTATTAATACCAGGCTGGCTCTATAGCTGTGGGTAAGGAGGCTGGATCCCACATGGCCAACAAGTATTTGGATCTTGGCCCTATGGCTTGAAAACCATGCCAGGCATGTGTGTGTGGTTGCCCAAAATCCCAACTGGAGGGCGAAATGAAGGAGAGGGGATTGCAGCATGCCCACCTCCCACTGGGGAATGCCCCCACCTCCGTCTCTCTGTGAGTGCATGTGCCCTCTGACAATTAAAAAAATTAATGTGAGACCAGCAGATGGCATAATGGTTATGTTGCTGAACTCCCATGTAATCTACTGTGGTTCAAGTCCTGGACACGGTGGCTTAAAACTCAAACCAGGTGTGTGTGTGTGTTTACCCAGAATCCTGAGAAGAGAATGAAGAAGGGATTGCAGTATGACCACTCCCTCTGGGGGACGATTACTCACTTTCTGTCTCTTTGTCTCTCTCTATCTCTCTGACAAGAGCATGTGCCCTATAGCAAAGATATTCTCTGAAAAAAAATTAATGTTTATGGCTTATGTTAGTGGTTTGAAGGCAAAAAATCTTTTTAAAGACTAATTTTAATTTCTTAGATTTAAAAATATACTTCTATTTGGGACCATCAGATGGCATAATGGTTACATCGCTGGACTCCCACATAATTGATTGTGGTTCGAGTCCCAGACCTGGGGACTTAGACTCACTCCAGGCACTTGTGCATGTTCACCCAAGATTCCAAGAGGAGAATGGAGGAAAAGGGATTGTGGTGTGGCCATCCACCCTGGGGGGCGATTTCTCGCTTTCTGTCTCTCTGTCTCTCTCTGCCTTTCCAGCAAGTACACGTTCCCTATAGCAAAAACATCTCTCTCTTTTTAATTTTATTTATTAATTCATTTATTTATTTCCATATGGCCAGAGAGGGATAGAGTGAGAGAGAGAGAAAGCCACCAGGTCCGGAACTCAAACTGCATTCAGCCATGTGGGAGTCCAGCACCCTTAACCACCAAGCTACCTGCCAGCCCCCAAAAAATCTCTTAAAAAATTATATATATATATATATACAGTGGAAAATCAAGCCATAGATTGTCAATGCATTTTTTAAAAATAATTATTTATTTAATTTTACTTATTACTTTTTAAATTTGATCAGAAAGAGACAGAGAGTGAGAGATGGAAAGTGAGAGAGCAAGCCATCAGGTCTGAGACTTGAACCTCTGTTGACCATATGGAGTCCAGCACCTTAACCAGCATGCCACCTGCTCGCCCCAACTGTCAATGCATTTTACAGAGACCATCTCAAATAGGGTGGAGTGTGGGGAAGCAGAAACAGAGACATGCAACCAACTGAGATTTCACTATCTGCTCTCTTAAGTGGCCCTGTGCCTGGGTTTCCTAAACATCTGAGTTGTGGAGACTTCCTCTGCTAAATAAGAGGATTGTACTGCTCTAGAGTAAATTATTTGTAAGCTTTCGGATTAAGAATCTGTTAGTATTCTTTGGAATCTTGGCACTCCCCAAGGAAAAAGCTGAATTCTGAGTGTAGTAGAAAAAAATATGGAATCTAAAATTTTTTTTTTTTTTCCTAGCTTCACTACACATACAACAATACATACTTCAGCATTCCGGTCCTTTTGTTATCAATGCCAACAATTAAGTTGTGCGCTGGCTGTAATTTCGAATTACAGCTGAATTTAATTTTTACACTCCACTGTTGGTCACATCTAACTTAGCTCCCGGTTTGTCCTTTGTTAGACAGCAACCACTAAATATAGAATGGTTTCTATGGAAACACAGTTTCTCCTGCAGATTCCAGAAACACATTTTCTCTGAAAAATAAAAACTGTCAGATAATATGTCCAAATCCAAGACTGTACGCCAGATTTTGTATTTTAAAATTAATTTGATTTAAGGAGAGTTGTTTGAAATTGGCTTAAAAATGGGTTTCATGCTCAAATTTTCCAGCTGAGCTGAGCTGGTATGAATTTGACTTTGATAATAGAAGTTGAGATCTTATCTTTTATTGAGAGCTTTTCTCGAAATAAGGAAGCATATGGCACATTGTTGTTCTATGTGTCCGTGACCACGGCACCATCAGAAGCTCGTGCAGCAGATGGCACGGGTGGGGGTGATGCTCATTCTTTTCCAAAGCAAATGAGAGTTTTATCGGTTACTGAAATACAGGCCACAATGCACCTGCGTTACAGGTGCTAGAGTCTCGGTCTTTCTGAATTGCTGTTGCTGACGAGTAATCAGATTTGGAGCTAATTTTGACAGCTCCTGTGGACCCCTTGCTCTGTATGTTGTTCTAAAGCCAATGCTGCCTTCAAATCATTTTTTGACATCTTAGCATGGCTAAAGGTGACTGTCAGGTTAGGACAAGGCTGTTGTTAGGAAAATGTGAAGTGGGAAAAAAAAAAAGCACTCTTGTTCTTGAAGTTACATCACCAGAGGGTTGAACTGCAAAAGTAACCATGTCGGAATGGCAGCTGATGAGAGAAGGGAACCTTTGGAAATTAAAAACTCGAGATATAAATGTTTCGAGCTTACTGCTGAGAATAGGAAGGTTTCCCAGAAAGTAGCTGCTGTCACTCATTCTTAGGCTAGATGTGAAACATTTGGGGCAATCCATGAGTATGATGAGACAAAGCACTGAGAGAAAGAAAAAAACTTTTAAGCTTTTCATTTTAGTAAGAAAAGTTTCTGTAATTAAGTCATTAACAATGAAAATGAAAGCTTTTACTTATAGGAATAATTGTGAATTTGTCTCACCACTAGCTAGAAACTTCCGTTTGTGGCTCGGATCGTTTATCTGGGCTCTCCATCTTGACCGTTTAATTCAGTCTTCAGTCCGAAGCTTGAGCTATTCCCCTGGTTCATCGTTCATCCCACGGTCTTTCTTAACTGCTGAGATTAGTGGAGTGTGGAGCCCTGCGGGCTGCTCTTCCTGAGTGACCTGATGCAGAGGAAGACACAGCCACACCACACGGCCTTGACGCTTCTCCCAGCAGCAAACCATTACAGGAAAAGGGCAAGTACGTCTCTGGGGCAGCTGTTTGTCTCTGGTAGAGTAGGGCTAGAGGGTTTAGTGCTTGGCCTTACTGAGCACAGAAATGCCTAGACATGGAAGGATTTAGAAGGATAATGCCAGGCCTGGTGATGAGGGCATACGGGCAAGGACTTGAAGGAGAAGCACAGGAACCGTCTGACTTCTCCCTTCCCTCTGCGCTAATCCCTGTAACTGAAATATTTGTAGGCTGATTCTGGGAGGCAGCTAAACATAGAGATCTTGTCTGGACTTTGTGAAATGTCAGGAAAGTCGTGACGTGTGTGGCAGAGGATCTCTTAGTTGTGCTATAGATGTGATCTAAGATGCTCCTTCCAGAAGCCCTGCAAAGTATGCTTATTGTGTGCCCTTGAAGAGCTCAAGGCACCACACAGAGTTAAGGATCTGCTCTGTGGTCAGTCAGGTCAGGGGTGGCAGAGTCGCCCTGTTTCCAAATACCACACGTTCTTAGGAGACGTGCCCACTGAAACTGCGGGACTGAAAATAATTGAGCTTGTCATGGCTTTAGAATCATTTCAAATTTAAATTTGGCCTGCCTAGGACTTTAAGGAACACCAAAATTTCCAAACTAAATTAGCTCATTAGTTCATAAAAACATGTAAGTTTCTTGTTTCATACAAAAAAATGTATACACATCACATAAAATTTATATTTTTATTGTAAGTTGTAATTATGTTTATAAGTTACATTAAATCTTACTGAGAGGTGTACTTTTTTTTAAAAAACAAAAAAGCAAACAAACAGAAAAACTTCTCCCTGATTCCACAACAGCACGTGAAAAACAGGACACACGCTCATTGTGGAATGACGTCTCGCTTACATACAAATCGAACTTTGCTTTTGGCCAGGCGAGCAGGAAATGCATGAGGAAAATGACACAGACATCCAGAGAGAGAGTTTGAGCTAAGGAAGAGTTTCCAGTCTCATACTTTAAGAACAAAGATCTAGAAAGTTGTTTGCCTTAAATAGTCAGAAATTTCCTAAATACCCACTGGTGAAGCAACAATTTTATGGAATGTAGGTTTGTATCTGCCTTCCTAGAACAAGGAGGATGAGGTAAATAAGGCCCTGGTTTATCTTAAGAAGTATAACATTTATATAGCCATAGTACTTTCAGCTGTAAAACTCCCCAAACTCACTGACTCATGTAATTCCCGAATGATCCTTTAATTCAGGCGGGAGACCTTTCCCATCACAGTTAAAGCTCCATGCACCACACGACCCCCACCCGGTCCCAGAACTACAGACAGCCTGGCAGATTGCCAGTGCTTTTTGTCCTACCTGGTCATTGTCCCTTGAACCCCTATACTTGGAAAACGTAAATAAAAACAAAGCAAAACCCCCTTCAGACTTGGACATCTCACCAAAATGTACCACAGTAGTGCAAGAACAGATTCAGGTCTAAGAAGAAGAAAGGGTTGCAAGAAATATGCATCTTATATGCTGCTCCCTGTTCAAAAATGGACCACAGAAAATACTCCCAACTGCTGTCTATGCATCTTCTCACAGTAATTACACATGACTCAGGTGGTGTTCTCTATATTAGCCCAAATTAGATTGCCCGACAACTGGAGAGATGGCCACTACAGGTCTGACCTGATTGTGGACTGTGTATACTGATCCTGCCTTTATTAACATTGTATTTTATGCACCATATTTTTGCATTAGTTTGATTTTTTTAATATTATATTAAAATATTGTCTATTTTGATTGCTAACCTTTTGACCCTTCCTTATATCTTAGACCTGAAGCTAACATGTCTCATGCCAGCTTTGGTGTGTACTTAAACATATCTGTTTTTAGAATACCTCGGTGCATAGCTCTGAGCTTTATATTTGAGCAAACTTATTTTTGTAACTTTATTTCACTTAATTCTGTCTTGCCAATACCTTTGGATAGCTGAGTGGAACATCTGAAAAATTTTTGGTGCATAATTTTGGGTTCATAAATATTTGTCTAGGATTGCAAAATTCAATACTACCCATGCACAGTTGCTGTACAATTTCTATGTAGTCGTCATAATTTTGTAAAAACTTTTTATTTAGGAGTCTATGAGTCTGCTGCGCTCTTTGTGGAGATCCATGGAGACAATCAATACAACCACCCTGCAAAATGCCTCGACCACAGATGACTGCAACATGCACTGCAGAATGATTCTGATAACACTGTACAGCGTGGTTCTGCTTGGAGGCACCACCGGAACTATCATCATGTCACGTATGATGGTCAAAAGGCATAGCCAATCAATTATCGCCACCATCGTCTTCAATATCATAGTGCTGCACTGCATCCTCCTGGCCAGCCTGCCATTCCGCCTCAGCTATTATGTTTCAGTCTCCTGGAAATTTGGGCCCTTTACCTGCCGGGTGGTTAGCAGCGTCATATACGGTCACATGTACCTCACCTTTGTTTTCTACACGGCCATCATCATAGTCCGATTACTCATCTATTTTAAGAAACTCCAAATGCAACAGTTACAAAAGTACCATGCAGTAGTTTTAAGCATTGTTATTTGGATGGTGGGTAGCCTTATTTTTTTGCCAGTATTCTTTTTACAATATGGAACAGACCCAAGTTACTCCAAACAACGCTGCTTTGAGTTCCACAGAGATCTCGAACGTGACGAGTTCATTACCATGAACTACTGCATGATCGTTGTTATGATCACGACAGTTGTGACCCTCTTTCTGCTACAGATGGCTGTCATCATTCAACTGACAATGGCCCTTTGGCCTGACATGTGGGCCCATCAGGAGTTTAGAGCCCAAATCAAGAGTTGCTTTTTCCTCCTGGTAATAGTTGTTTGTTTCATCCCTCACCACGCATTCCGAGTGCACTTTATCCAAAGGTGGAAGGACAATTCCAAGCTCGTTCTTTATAACGAAGTTTGCATTGCTTTAACCACTGTCTGCTGCCTAGATATGCTGTGTTTCATCAGTGGAGTTACCCACTGAATAGCCCTTGGTTGCTGGCTTCACCATCAGTTTTCTCAGCATATAATGTAATAACTTCATGGAAATGGGCTCTGCTGTGATATCAACACGCGCCAACATTTTTCAAATACCACGCTCTTAACTGTCATTGACATTTTTTTCACCAAAATGAAAAAAAAAAAAAAAGTGATGAGGATTGACTATTCTCCTCCTTACAAAACCATCATCAGATCTCTGTCACCACTGCATGTGTTCAAGCTCGTGGCCCACACAAACTGGCCACATCCTCTCTCCCAGGGTCAACACCTACCTTTTTTGTTTTGTGTGCTGCTCACAGATTAGTTTCCAGGTACTTTTCAGATGTTTGCTCTCATTGATTCTGATCCTGGAATTTTTTTCCCTTCATCTCCAAACCATCTTGTTCTTCAAGATCCAGAAAAACTTAAGGTAGAAGATCTACAGCTTTACTGAGCTCTAGAAAAGCCTTAATTTATTCAACATGGCTCAACTTAAGAAAGCTGCCTCTTGAAAATTACTAACTGCAAATAAAGCTACAATTGCTGACTTTAGTATTTGGAAGCAAGCATTAGCTCAGATAAGGTAGTCAACAGAGTAGAGGAAACTCTTAGAGTAGTGACTAGGCATTGATGTAGTTTGATTCTGATTAAGGCACAGGATGAAGCTGAGGTCACCTGCAGACCCACCTTCCCAAACATGGATCCATTAAACATTAACAGAAATTGCAAACAGCAGCTAAATGTCGTTTAGGGTTTAGCTTAGACAAGTGCCAATAGACAGTATTAAAACCCAAACCTGGGGCCAGCAGATGGTGCAGTGTTTACATCGCTGGACTCCCACATAGCTGACCGTGGTTCAAATCCTGGACCTGGCAGCTTGCTTTCTCACCTTCCCTCTCTAGCCCACTCACTCACTTGCCCCATCCCTCTCTGGTCAAATTTTTAAAAAATAATAATAATAAGTAAATAAATAAAGTTAAATAAAATAATTCTTTAAAAAAAATAAAGAAAAGAAAATCACACTGGATGCACATGTGCGTGCCCAAGATCCAGGGAGGAGAATGAGGGGAAGGGACCGCTGCGTTGCCATCCCCCCAGGGGCTGAATTTTCACTTTCTCTCTCACTGTATCTGTCTCTCTCTTCAGCAAGCGCAGGTACCATAAGGCAAAAACCTCTAAAACAAACAAAACCCCCAAACCTGTGAGACTGTGTGACCGTCCCTACTGTTTTCAAAGCATCCTATGTAAATGACCAAGCAGTGTTACATAGTGAAAATTAACGCCTGTGTCAGCTAAACTCAGTAAAAACAACCGAGGCAACCAAACTGGATTCTTACTACATAACACGGAGGTTGACACGTTTTTATGCTTTGCTGTTAATAATGCTACCTTTGAGACTGCATTTAATAAATCATACAACCAAGCAATGCCGGAGAGGTTGAAAAGGCAGAATAGTTTAAACAGAAGAGTTTTAGAGTCATGAAACCTGGGGTGTTGTGCCAGTTCCTCTGTGTTGCAGGGTTCTGGTGAGTCTGAAACAAGATAACAATTCTAGCAGAATGCCTAGCATTTGGGACTCAGAATTCATATTACTTCTCTTTTCTAATCCAGTGATCATTTTTGCAAGAAAATTCTAATACAGGTTCGAATATATTTTAGAGACTTGAAATGCTATAAATCAACATTGACCTCATTCTTTATGCAATTGTTAAATCCATTATTAAATCAAAACTAAATGGATGTGTATTCCTATTTTTCCCTGTAAAAACTTGCTATTATTATTATTATTACTATAATTATTGATTGCACGTCAAAACACGACCGTAAAACCATTTTATAAATCTGCTATCACAGAGCAGGATAAACAGCGGTGTACTTAAATTTCAATAAATCAGTTTGCTAAGGAACATGGCGTGTCGCTTCAAAAGGAACTGCAATTAGTTACAGTCAGGACTTAGTCAATATTTTAATACAGTAGGCTGTTCTGAGAAGGTCTTCAGTGACCCCTACTCCCTAACACTCACGTCCGTGGGCAAGCTCCTTCACCTTTGGTTGACTTCCTGTGAATAGAACAGGGCCCAGAGATGGGGCGTCATTTCTAAGATTGGGTTATAAAAAGGCCATGGCCTTCGTCTTGGGCACTTTTTCTTGCTCTTTTGGATTGGCCCACTCCAGAAGAAGCTATTCCGGAGCCAGCTCTGTGGAGAAGCCCCCCCGTGGCAAAGAACTGTGACCTTCTAAGAACCATGCAAGTGAAGCACACCGTCACCCACCTGAGTGAGTCTTGAGACGTTTGCAGCCCCGGTTGGCACACTGACCGCGGCATCATCAGAGACCCTGAGCCAGAACCACTCATCTGAGATGCTCCTCCATCTCTGGACTCAAAGTATGAAGCAATGCTCGTTCTTTGCCAGTACGTGTTTGTATGGTTGTTTCGTAGCCGTAGATTGGTAATCAGTAAGTAAATTCCATCTGTGGAACGCTGTCACGTAAGCCATTTGTGTCCAGTGTTTACAATCCATTTCGTCTCTGCCTTCTCTAGTTGCTGATAGCAACAAACTCAGCCTTGCCTGTTCTGAGTGGATAAGAACTGCATCGTGTGTTACAGTGGAAGCTCAAGTGTAGAGCTATGATACCTGAAAGTACATGGAGACACACTGCAGTGAGGAATGGGTAGGGATTGCTCTTTATCGGTCACACTGATGTAGACACCATCGGCCAAGTGTGGTCCCTGGACCAGCAGCAGCAACAGCATCTGAGACTTCGTTAGAAGTGCATGTTTTCCGGACCAGCAGTTGGCATAATGGCTATGTTGCTGGACTCCCATGTAGTCAACCACGGTTCAAGTCCTAGACCTGGTGGCTTAAACTCACACTGGGTACATGTGCGTGTGTGCCCAAGATCCCGAGAGGAGAATGGAGTAGAAGGGATTGTGGTGTGGCCATCACCCCCGGTGGGTGATTTCTCACTCTCTGTCTATCTTTCTCCGTCTTTCTGGCGAGCACATGCATGCTATAGCAAAAGCCTCTCTCAAAAAAAAAAAAAAAAAAAAAAAAA